AGAGAGAGCCTCGTCTTGAAGAACTCCACTGGTAATGTTGAATCAGTCTGACAGTTATCCTTCAGTTCAGACGGCGCATTTAGTTCCCTCGTACAGACCTCCTATCATGTTTACCATCGCATATGGAATCCCCTAGTGACGAATAACGCGTTACACTGTCTGGCAATAAATTGAATTGGATTGGACGGCGCACGGAAGTCCAGAAATGCCGCGTGCTAGTGAAGTTGGAAGCTCCGGTAATGCTTCATGATTTGCTTTGGCACAAAGATGTTGTCCATGCGTGAGTCCCTACTTTGGAAGACTGCTTGGTTAGTTTGGAATGAATTCCCCTATTTTTCCAACAACGATTTGCTCGAAGACCTTCTATAGCACAAAATAGAACAACATACCATGTGCACTTTGAAAAAATGACAACTAACCATAATCGATGCCAGTGTTCAAAATGCACAACATTTAAGGCAAATAATGACTCCACTGTTTCATTACTACCGCCTATTGCTTTTGTCTCTGTTAATATGCAAGAATATCCCTCATGAAACTTCTTGACTGTAAAATGCAATGCGTTACAATCGTTACCGAGCTGAAGCATAATCTGCTCTTCTGAGCAACGGAAAACTCATGACTGTGCTACACGAAAATGTGCACTTTTTATCTCACCTAAAAAAGATTTGTGACCTTGGCGACAAGTAAAACTGTCATTATGACGCCAATTTACAGACGGGTAGCTGAAGTTCCATTTTTGCGCATCCTCATATTGCGCTAAAGTAATGACAACGTACCTGAGTGCTCCGTAAATTGTACCGGCCAGCTGCTGACAAATTTTCCAGAACTGCGAAACAGCATTATGCGATTGTTGCAGTAGCCGTCAGCGACAACCACAAGTCCGTCGGTTGTTGAGGCGACTGCAGAAGGCTTACAGAACGTATCAAGACTACTGCCGGGCTTGAATCGCTCACCCAATGTTACCGTAGGACGACGAGAGCTACTTTTCCAGTCAAACTTAAATACTTGATGTAGAGCCACGTCTGTGATCCATAAACAGTTTTCATGGTCAACATGAATACCGTGAGGTAAATAAAACCTGAAACAACAGACAGTGCCATCCGCAAGTCGGCAATTGAAGAATGCTTTACATTTCATTTCCCCAGCGGTTGATCACAATGCCATCTTTATCGAAAACAATTACCGCATGCTCCAGAATAGGGCCTTCGTCTTGAAAGCGATACTGATTGTACGGATCAAAGGACCTATACGGTACACTAGCGATAAACAGAATTTAACAGTTTGACAACTGGCATACAGCTTGTTCCAGACGTGCTCGCCGCGATGGAAAACAACAATATTGCCTTCGTTGTCAGTGGCTATTCCAGACACTTGACCGAAGCGGATCGGTGTTTTCAGCCAGGCCACTTCCGTTATTCCTAATATATCGATCGTCAGACAATATAGAGAATTCAGTTCATCTTTTGTTGGAGAGCATCTGACAGCGTCGTACAACAGTCCATGCGCACAACAAAGATGAAACCGCTGTTCCACGGACAACGAATCTGAGTCTCAAGTCAAAGACAAAACAGACACAGAACGTGACGAATCGCAAACAAACAAACGACTAACACCTATGTGTACCCAGTACCCAGCGTCTCATTTTGCAGCAGATCTGAAGCAGAATTCCTCTTTATTCGATGCACAGGCAGTCCAAAAAGTTTAGTCTGTTCATGATGAAAATTGTCTTGTCCTACGAACACAGTCTTGTTACTAGCTTAGGATACCTTCACCGAAACGTATAAAAGCAACAGATGATTTCAGTTCTCACCAAACCGTTCCATAGTCATATTAGCCTCCATCTCGAGCAGAGGGTTTCTCTCCAACGGTTTTCGCGCCTCTGCCGGATATTTAGCAAACAGTTTGGTATCGTTTGAGTCCAGGCATTCCCCGAGCTGCTTTAGCATTGTCCCATACTCTGATTCGACATAAATGTACATGTAGAAGTTGCACATTTCGTTTTTTCCATGAGCACTAATCAGCAATCATAAGTTAACATATGCAGTCGCAACGGTAACCTACCCTATGTAAGTAACCGTATCCCTTGTGGTAGAATTGAAAATGCACTGCGCCGCCAGAATGCTGCCAGGTTCAGCAACGACTTCAGGAGTAGTTGGATAAAACCTCTATAAGCTGATGATTTAGGATTACCATCTCACTCACACAGAAAGTTACATAACGATATACTGCATTATAAAATCATAAGTATTATTATGTAGAAGTTGCGAAACAAATTCCATATGGCTCCGTTTAAAACAGCAGAATATGCATTTCCTATTGCTGCTTTAAATTTTCGTGAAGCTAGTGAAAATTTAGACTCGAATTTATTAGATTAAATATGGAAAGCTATATTTGAGTTGCGTTTGCTTTACGTCGAATGAAAATGAAGCATATCAATTTGCATATTACAAGATCAACAAACTGCTGCATTAACACGTGGCGTATGTCAGTCTCACGTATTTCTTTCTAGTAACTTAATTACCATAAATCAACAATTTCGAAAGCGTTTTCACACGCAGATTAATAAATATGCAGAAGTTTAGTGGGATTCTGAATTGATGTGCCTGAAAACTTTAATGTGCAAGTCAAAAAGCGCGTGACTGAAATTTTCCGGCAGTTCAACGTGATGAATGAATCAGTTCTGTTTCTGGGTAGCTGTAACTTCAGCAAATTAAGTACCTCCATTGCTTAGAGGATCAAATCAAGGGCGAACCTGTGCGTAGATAAACAATGCTTAGCTGAAGTGTCTGCGAAAATCCACTAGATGCTCATGAAAGGAATGAGCGGAAGTTCGTAACGGCTGGCACGTCGCTCTTCTTTAAACTTCAATGATGGAGCTGTTTCCAGTGCTGATCGCTTCTCTTCATGAAACTAACGATGTGCTGATCTCAATTTCCATGTCACAGAAAGGAATGCTACATTTAAAATGCAGTCGACAATGGTTAAGTAGCAAGCACAATGCGTAGTCTTCTATTTCTTTCCCACGAGTATTACTCATTTATCAACTTCGGTAGGAAGAGTGGCAAGTGACCTACAGCAAGGTTTGAACCCAAGACCTCCCGGTTCTGAGTCTAATACTCCAGTTACTGAGTAACCCAGGTCTTGTAAACAAATGTTCATGAAAACCGAGCTTCGACGTTGGCTTTGGTTCCTATGGAAAAGAAAATGGCTTAATTCAGTAAAGGAACGCCAGCAGCGGTTACGTTGTCTTCTGAAAACGACAAAATCCGTAATGCTATCAACACGGAATTTATGCTAAAATTTAGACATCCGCACTTTTAAAATTTGGGTTGAAAAGTAAAAGGGTCTTGAACATTTCCTCAGTTACACAAACACTACTTGAGGTGTTAAGTAAACAGACGAAATTCAGACAATTAAGGCATATTCCAAGACATTATGCGTTATCAGATTCTTAGAGTACGACTAGTTCTACTGTTCTTTTTCACTGTCTGTACAAGTTGCTCCATCTAGACGCTGGTCAGTTAATGAAGATTCAATGCCATAGCGAATTCTCCAGCAATAATCACTTTCGCTTATAAACATTTGCAACAAGAGCCGATGTGGGGGACAACGCTTGCAGACCTTGACTAGTCTCTGTTGCTATGTTGCAATTCAGAGTGGCAGTATTTTCTTTAATCTGTTTACGGTTAGCTTCATTGAGTTTGAAATTGTCATTATACGCAGGACATATTAAAAATGCGCTTCAAATTATTTTAATTGAATAATTAGCACAATTGAACGAAAATATAGCAGTATCGATTTACCTTAGCTTTTGCTTCAGGCTATGCCAAGAAATATATATTTATGGTGCTCAGTCCCGCATCCATTGCATTTGCTCTTCAATTATGGCGGAAAAAAATTTCAACTTGAATTTGCCCATCAGTTGATTAAATGCTTCTAAGTTGCCTATCAAAACGTCACTCCATATGTATGCTTAGAATAAAACCTTCGTGATTCATTCGCTGCTGCAACTGATTTAAAACATGGCTATTTTCACTGAAGGGGCAGGGCATATTAAAGTTCATTGGTAATCGAATGCTAAACGTGTTATTCCGTTACAAAGCAGAAATGATACCCAACATTTTAAAATACTTGAGCTGAAACCTAATCACTTACCTGGGGCCACTGAGGATTACCTTTTCCAATGAGGGTCCATTGATCATTAAGAATATTGTAACCGGTAATAATTCGACCTAAAATATTTCGTTTTTGAGCCATAAAGCTAGGCTATAACGTAGCCAAAAAGTTTTGGGAGGAGAAGAAACCGACAGAGGCAAACGGCTTCTACTTTATTGATCAGAGCCCGCAGACAAGTCATATTATGCTGCACCCATCTGGTTTCATTAGATTATGAAAGAGCAGACAATTACCTAATGAATGTGCATGAGTACGGTACGCGAAGATATGAAGCGGCGTTGGGCCGTAGTATGTACAGGATATGTTTAGAGCGACTTCTACAGTAAAAATTGTAAAGCATGATACGCGAAGCAAAGCTAGCTCTCTCTCTGCTTACCTGACATATGTGGTGGGATATTATAATAGGCGCTACTAACCATCAGGAGTACGTCTGCGAAGTAACGGGGCTTCAGCGAAGTAACGTTAAGCACTACTCCAGAGTAATCCAGAACTTCTCCTGGTGTAAAAATATTAGAACCACTCTTCGCAACGGTTGTTCAGTTACCCGTAAACTTGGCATTGTAATGTACCTGCACGACGTAGTTGTCAATACCGCTGTCTCCACCAACCGCAACACCAACGTTGTCCGGTAACGACAAGGAAGGAGCATTGCGTGCCCATGAAAACAGTATCTTTGGGTTTTCCTTGTCACATACTGAATGGTGCTCACAATCCCTAGAGGAAGACCATTGATTTAACAATAAAGGGAAAAGTGGTGTAGTACCAAACGCCGCCAGTAGGATGGTTTGGCTTCGAACAGCCGAAGAGTATCATGTGATGCACCCGATTTTCGTGAGCTACAGGAGCGTACTGAACTAAATGGAAAACTGCAATGCGGTTTCAACGTCATTTGCTTCTTCACCTCACCTACGTAGCCAGGGGCACCAACTCTGATGGTATAACACAGGTATTGTTCATCCTACAACAAAAAAATTAGTTTGTCCAATAAACTGTTCAAAACATTTTGCACCAGCTAGTATAAAACAAAAGTGATGAAGATCTTAGCCTAACATTTGACTTTTGATGAAGTTTATCAAACTACTTCTTCAGAATATTATTTCTTCACATATCTATGCAAGAAATTTGTGTATATGTCAGCATAGTAAATTAGAACTATTTCACCAGCTTGGTCAATATTGGTCTCGTTAGCTTCATCTAACTCAGTAGGAAATAAATGCCGCTAGACTGCGGTCAAACCAGCCGTTATTCATAATTATAAAGGTATTCAAAGTAGCTTACCACAGCAGGCTGAACACCTGGCATTTGTACGTCCACACTGTAAAAATTTCTAGAAGGTGCTTTCGATAATCCACAAGCAAAGTTTAGGAATAATGTCAGCAACACTTGATAGTCCATTTGAGCTATCTATAATAATTCATCTGAGAAAAACAATGAGGCACTTTAGCAAGTAGCGGGAATCATTAAAAATTTCATCTGATTATGTGAAAAAATTCGCTTCTAAAGTGGCATCAAGCCGCATCTTATAAAAGGTTTGCGGATCGCGCAGTCAGCAAGTCTGTGGGAATGTAGTTGTCACGGGATCGGTATAGTAAGTATAGAACGTATGGCCACTCATTCGCTTTAGTTCAAGGTTATCCATCATTTTCACAACCACTATGGATAATGACCCATCTAGAAATGATAAAACGTAAGACAGTGTGACGAACTGGGTAACGCCGTCTGTACTGTTAGTAAATTTTGATGATCCCTCAACCTTTCTGGTGGCAAACGCAGACGCATCAGAGTGTCTCCAATGTTCCAATTTCCATGCAAGCGTTTGAGTTTTGATGGCAGAACTGAAATCTGTCGAAACACTTGTGCGAGGTTGTTCCTGTCCACAGCACCTGAGGGATTCGTCGGTCGGTACAGCAGGTAGCAGCTGTTTCGCCTCAGTTTTTGACAGCATTCGCAATACATGCTCAAACATCCGCAGAGGCCTCTCAGTCTGAAAAAACAGCGGCTACACCCCACAGCACTTTCATGCATCGCAACCCGGAACCATAAAGAGACGCATGAACCCAGCGATTCGTCAGAAGGCCCATTTCAGCCGTTCGCACCCGGGATCAAAGTTATTCAGTCATGCCACAGGACTCATGACCATAGGTGAGCATGGGGATGAAGACCGAAAGACCGACTTGTACCGAGAGAGTTCAGTCTTCAGGCACAGCTCTGACCTAGGCACACCAGTTCGGGCTACTTCATGCAGAACTCCACTGGCTACTCCAGTCCGAAACTCAATCTGTTTCTCAAACTTTCCATCACTAGTAAATATAGTTCCGAGGTACTTGAACTTCTCCACCTGCTCCACTGCCTCT